CGGCGTGCTCCGTCCCGGCTTTGTAGGGATGCGAGGTCAATGATCTAACGACTACGGCATGCACGACTATGAGTACACCCCCACCCCGCAATTTAGGCCCGGATAAGCCCAGTTGGGTCACGGTCTCACGCTCCTCTCACACTAATCGAGTTGCCGTCGAAAGTAGAGGGGAGTCTAAACCAAACAGTTTTCTCCTTCAGCAAGCGGTGTGTATTTGCATGCCTGTCCCATCTATTCTGGCGCCAGCGTCAACACTCTTTTAGAGTACATGTTTGATGTAGGAACCAAAGTCACACGGGAGGACGGTCGCACAGGAGGGTTTGGTACCAGTAGGGCGGGGTGAAGAGCCGTGGGGTGCGAGTCATTGCCTGTAGTCCACCGGCGATGCTGTGCGAGACGCGCTGCTTCCAGGCCACCACACACGCTCGGAGACTTAAGCAATTCACACAGACGTATCTGGCATATCCAAGCAGGTGTTCAAGGCTGTGCATCCGCTCCCCCCTGGGTCAAATGCTACACTAGAGGCGGAGGAGCAAATACACACACCGTGACACACTTGCCCCTGCTAAAGCAGTACCGCCAACCCATCGGCACCTAACAGCACTGCCGCCGACATAAACGAACAACGGTGGCGGACACGAAAGTACATCGTAGAGCCCATCGGGCAGCGTGGTGTGGAGAGTAGCAGGAGCCCAGTTCAAACAGAGCTAGCCCTCACCCTCCGTTAAGGTGGACTTTTTCTGATCATCTGACTCATGTCTTGCAATGTTTCGGTTGCTGGAGGCGGCGTTGTTTATTTGCTTCCCTACTTGCCTGACCTATTGCTGTCCTACGAAAACATCATACCTATCGTTCTGAGTCTCGTATGGCGACTGCTTCAACAGCGCCAATACCCCAACTTCGCGTTGTTGCAGCTGCTGCTGTCCCAAAGACTCCCAGCAATCATATCTTCGGACATCAATGTGAGGTTTCCCAACGGCAAGACTGCTTGTTGTGTAGCCAGAGAGCGGGCACGAGGTCTGCTATTACTCCTGTGCTTTCGCATGTACGGAAGCGGTTGGTCCTCAGAAGGCGGGTATGTTTCTGTGGATGCGCGCAAGTTATCAGTATTACCTCTGTTTTCCCTTTTGTTGAAATGCGTGTACGAGTTTTCCGCTTCTGTGTTAATCCTTTCAACTCCCGGGGTTAATTGTGAGGTATCTCCTACGGATTGTCGGGATAAATGCTGGTGTAGCACTGCCACATCTTGTCAGAGCACCGCCAAACCGGTGTGACGAAGAGTGCCCTATTTCCTTCGTCTTCGGAACCCATCAGTCGTCAATCGGCGCTCTATAGTCTTCTAGGCTTCGCGGAATTTGTGCGGAAATCAAACGAGACCCCCTGCATCGCTTTGGAACAGGCCGATATCTTGAGACTTTTTTTATCCTCTTGGGACGAAGGGACAAACGGTGGCGGCTTTGTTCGTGGTAGCGGCCCTATGTATCGCCTGAGCTGCGGTAGAACATCCGATCATGGGATATTTTTAATTGCAGAACTGTCGATCGTAGGTTGTCATGCCGAGTGTTCTGCGAATACTCTTTGTGGTGGTTCGGTAGATTGTACACACGTAAGGATCGTACAACGGACCGTAGGTGTAAGTCGGTACGTTGGTATGTGGTACGTTGGACACTTGTCCAGTAGGAACGTTCTAGCATTGTCGCTGGAGGTCGGGCTTACGGGTCATTGTCGCGTTCGGTGTATTGCTTTGTGTTCCGGGTGTGCATCTATCCGGAGGAGACGTTGGGAGCTGGAAGCATCACGCTCGCCCCCTGTGCTCACTCCACTCTCCGACCTGTCTCTCCATACCTGGGTCTCACTAATACAATATCTTTCTCCAGAAGCCACTGATTTACCAACAGGATTCGCCGTTCCACGGCAATTTATCATGTTTTTTTTGTTCTTTCCCTCCGTCCCCACCGCAGTTCTTGCCTTAGTTCCAATCGCGAGACGGGTTCTTCCCCTTGTCGACTATCCTGTCAATCACACTAGCGGGTGCGATAGATCACCCGCAGGAAGTCGATGTTTTGCATACAAAGAGTGATCTGCTCCACTCTGAGAAGTAAGATGAATATCTTGATGCTCGCCGATTTCTGTAGAGTTCGCCCGTGGAGCGAGAGTTGCAGTAGATTAAAGCAAGGTATGCATACTCCTTCCCCAACAGCCTCCCAGGTTGCATGTGCCGGTTTTACGTTAGCCACATTGGACCAATATGCAGTTCCACGTATGCCTTGGGGTGCAGCACCTTCGCTCGAGAAAATAAGAGGCAACCAGGACCGAAGTATGACTCTCGTTAGCTTAGACAATCACTGCGTCTGAGGCGCATTGCGTGTGCTGTGTTGTGCATTTCAGGCTCCTCAACCTGTCACCCCGACCCCATCGCGGCCGACCGCAGGACAACGTAAACGTCGCCCGTAGAGACTTCCAAGAATGGCAATCACGATCACTCGCCGCACCCTTCGGGGGGCAGAGAAGCAGATATTCGACTTCATGGCAGATACCTGCATACCCGAGCAATGGGCGGCCTGGCTCAGCGCTGCTGTGGTGAACGCCGCTGACACAGGAAAGGCAGGCCTCGTACAGAAGCTAGCGACGTCAGGAGCAGAGATAGGGGTTGCAATGCACGCGGCGGCGTTGCGCGGCGATCAGGAGGTCGCCAACAGTCTGCTACAGAACGGAGCATTAATACACGACACCTTTGATGGCTTTACCCTGCTCCACGAAGTAGTGCAGAAGGCCAACGGAGGCCTGGAGGGGAACGTCAAGCAGATGTGGGAAGGGACTAGTGGAATGGTAAAAAAGACCGCGCAAGGGAGGGATACAGGGGTAGCAACTTTGCGAGGTGTGAACGGTGGATTAGTCAGCAGTGGGAAGGGAAAAAGGGAAGTTCTAGCAGGACACTACAAGAGACTTGGAGTGCCCTCGGAGAATGAAGCTTTTGACCAAGTGCTTAAGAAGGAGGTGGACGCATAGGCCCAACAAGAAGAAGAGACAACGAAGGCAGACGTTGGGAACGTAAAAATAGAAAAGTTCACTGAGGACGAGGTTGAGGCGTGTGTGAACAAGCTGAAGTGCCACAAAGCAGCAGGAGCGGATGGGATAGTCAACGAGTT